ATATATTAAAAGCCAAAATGGACAAGGCTTGTATGAGTTGGCCGACTTATCTATTTAAATGAGTCATTTTTCCAAAATCTATTTTCGAAATGCATTTTGGATTTAAACTTTGAGGAAATGATAATCTCAACAATGATAAGTAGTAACCCGAATTTAAAAACCAGTTTTTTGACATTTTTAATACTATCGATTTAAATTTTTATGACGCTACCATTTTCTAATCTACATCTCCAAGATGGATGTCACATGTGTCACGGGATGCTATTGTAAAAGTGTGTACCCTGATGCACAAATTACTTTTCTAATACAAATTAGGGTGAAGCGCACCGAACCATGAACCCCTACCCAGGGCCCAGGACCTATTCAAGATGAGCAAGTGGATGACATTGCCATTGATTGCACCCAAAATACGAAGATGGAGGAGGCTATTTTCCAAATGAACGTGTTTGCTCATTTTTCTACCTAAAACATATTTTAGATTTGAGGGACTAAATGAAACGAAGATTTCTATTTTAACTTCACAGTAAATGTACTCCTAAAACATATTTTGAACTTTATTCCATAGGTTTGAGGGACTGAAGATCCAATAATTGTGTGTGTGAGAGAAAGAGATTTAGTGTGGCAGGCCACAGTATCTAGAGTTTATTCTCATTAGGTCCGAAGTAAATATTCAAACTATGGCGCACCCGTAATGATGCCAAAAAAATGCAGCTCAAGTGCTAAGTATCCCATTGATGTTATGCAAACTTATGTTCATGTCTAATTATGAAAATGAAAGTTTCAAAACTACTGTAAATCAGGCAGATTTAAAAACACTTGGAAATGTAAACATCTTATATGACATATACCCACGAGCACAATTATGTATGAAAATCTTATACAAATTTCTTCTATATGAAAACCTAATACCCTATTGCAGATCTACAAACGCTTGAAAACTTTATATAAATTTCTTCCATACATTTACTGAGCTCTTCTTTATACATGATGTGTAGAAGAGCAGCAACATATACCTACGAGCACATCCAAAATATAAACATCTTATATGACATATATAGCACCCACCCACATAGATTGACAATGCTATTTTGAAATAATCAATACCAATCTAGAGACCTAGAGTTAAGATACTAAGGAGTCCTTGATTTCTTGAAAAGCTTCAGTAATGCAGCGACAAAGAGTTTCAGTGTCTACGTAACCTTTGGTCCCTGTTGCTCTTAAATTCACATGATCCATGTAACTCACAACGGATAGGAAAAGACTCTGCAAAGTTAGAAAAGCTTAATGATTAGTATAAGGGTTATTAAGAATTGTTTCAAGAACTCATTCTAACACTATGAGTGTGTTAGAAAGCTGAAAATTTCGGTATCAGATGTCCAATTTTCAAGAACAATGTAGAAGTTCTGCATTTATCAAACATATTTCTACACTGTTTTTCTGTTTAAAAAATTATGGTACCCATTGAAATGGGGGTGAACTCAAAATAAGTGTTCATACCAAAGGGATCCCCGTCACGAAGAAGGAGAAATCCTTGATGGGGTGGCCTTCAATTGCAATCTTTTCTTTTGGACCCACCATATTTGACAAAGCTAGAGTCGTGCTACTCATTGAATTGTAGAACGAAGAAGCCGCAACCTAAATCAATTAGGAATACATGAGATAATTAATAGGGCTTGTAAAGTATGAGACCGTTTATATTTCTTATAAGGAGGTCACAGTTGCTCCTAGTCATTGTATGTCAAATTGGATGGTTTTAGGGTGTGCACAAAGTTCAAGAATTTATTTCACCTTTTGAGTCTCGTCAATGAAATACTCACAACTACCTGATTTGAAATCTTATTGAATATAATGAATGTGACCTCCTTGCATTAAAAGTCAATGGTCACTCTATATTCTTTTCCTAATTAATAAGTAAAATTGCAAATGTTACTATTATTAGGTAGGCACCCCACTGTAAACTTTGGTCCAGTTCATGTTGGACCAAAAATAGGGGAAATCATCATGTGGCATTACCCACATATAAAGCCTATGTGATTCTTATCCCAACCACCTGGTATGAATGGACGACTATTATGACTCTGTGCCAATGCCATGGCTATCATTGTTTTACATTTATTTTTATTACACATCATCATTAACATGAAATTTGAGAGGTATCCACTCCTTTTAGTGGCGTTCCTAACAAAAATAAAAATATATTTATGATAAAATAAAATGGCCAAGATATCTCTGAAGGCGACAAGAATATATTGTTAAAATTTCATTATAGATAGTTTCTTTTTAGTTTTATTAGGTCAGGTGTGACTCCCTTGAGAAATGGAGGAATGTGGTAAATTTTTTCGATATAATTTGTACAAGAAATTAGAAATCAAATACTCTAACTTGTGATCCTCAGAAGCTAACTTGAAACATTATGAGTGAAGCTATTGCCAACCGTCCATTTGGATTGAGCTCAAGGCTAGGTGGCTAAGGTGGCAGAATTCCACAGTATGACATCTTGAGTTGACCACATGAGGGATATTCTTTCCCCATTGAGTTAAAAAAAAAAAAGCATATCCATTTTGATCAAACTAGAATCACAGTCTCTTGTATTTTACATGTGGATGGCACCCCTCCATGCAAAGGATATTGGTGCACTTAGTCAAAAAAGAATTGCAAAGCATGAAAGAAAAGTAAGAAATTCAACAAGAAGGGGAAGTGTGCGTTCTATGAAAGTGAGAGGAATTTACCTCTGGGTCTCTATACCTTGCTTTAAACACTAGAAACTTTCTACCTAGTAGGACTCCAAGTGATGACTTGGACCTTTTTGTAGAAGAACTTGCTTGCTTCACAAAGTAAGTTGGATCTTTGGGCATCCCAAAAGGAATTGGACGGAGAAAGAAATAGATGCGGTTTCCCCATGGTGCTTTTGAATTACTTGTGAACATCATTTCTGGCTTTTGCAGACCTTTATCTTCTCTTGCATTGAAAAACACCAAGGAAGTCACCTTCAACCCCTCTAAAATGACTGAGGGATCCTTGTATCTCTCATCTTCTAGAAGACCAAATAACACATTCAAATTACTTCAATACCTCATGAAATGCGTATTTTGTAACTGAATAGAAGATTTATGTAATAGGGAATCACTCACTTGATAGAGAGAGTTGTAGATATTTTTGAAGACCATAGGAAATGGCACCAAGTAAAACATCATTTACAGTCTACAAGAAAAATATTTGGATTGTTTAGAACCAAGGAAGAACACAAATAAAGCATCCTTTGGATATGTTAGGAGCAAAAATAAAGTGGGACGAAGCATAGATTACGAAATGAAATAAATTGCAATGCCATTCTCCATTAGGGGAATCACGAGATGTTGTTTTTTATTGGGTTATTCAGTGGGGAAGACAGGCCCCTACTATTTTTTTACAAATAGTTCAAGAGTTAATTTTTTTTAAAGTGTTAGTGGGATGATGTCAACTCCAATAGAAACTACAAAAAAAGTGTTAGTGGGATGATATCAACTGCAATAGAAACTACAATATAGTGACTAGAATGTGTGCGTGCTACCATCACAATCCCAGCCCCTTTCTTAATCACAAGAGGAGGGCTTACTATTTCTAGAGTTAAATGCCTGTTCGTGAATGAATCAACGTAAAACTTTATGTTTCCATATTAATTTGAATCAATGTTAAAGTCAGGTTGTTAACGGCCCGGGATGGCCCACAGGCCATTACGCTAAGTCCAATGTGTTGCACACTAGCGTAGAATGATAAGGCCCGTAGACCGGGAATGGGCCTGTTAGGCTCAAATAATATTCAGGCCAGACTACCACTTTCCTCGCCCAAAAATGTTTAATGTATTAGCTATTGTAAATATGTTTTGTTTCCCATATTTATATAGGTCCCAACCCCGGTGATCCAATTTTTTTTTTTTTGTATAAACTAGGCTCGTTCTAATAAATTCAGGTTGGGTCTAGACTAGAACCCAACTTAAAGTTAGAGCATGGGTTTTCGCTACATTGTCTCAGGGCAGGCGCGAGCCAGAGTAGGCCTAGCCTTAACCTCACCCAATAGGTTGGGCCGAGTTTCCCCAAGTTGTGTATACGACTCGAGGATATTAAAGTAAATATTAAAAGAATTCACAAAAAATTCATAAAAAAATGCGGGACTGATTTATAACATTTTTGTGTATGATTTAAATGTTTTTGACAAATATTGGTGAACGTTTTTTTGCCGTAAATCCCTTTTTCATATTTTCATTTTATTGGATTTTTTAAAATGCCCCCAATTATAAATCTGTTTTTTGTTTAAATCCATTTTTCCAATACTTTTTTAAGCATATTTGAACTCCTTAATGTTGTTTTTTGCTTTATCTTGCTTTCAACACCGTTTTTTTTTCCTTTTCTTTTCTTCTTTCTTTTTCTTTTTTTATTTTATTTTATTTTTATTTTTTTATTTATTTATTAAAGGCTTTTCAGCCATGTGCAAGAGTCAGCCAAGTTCTCAGGACTGAGCCAATTAGCTTGCCTCATCCCCTTCCCGAGGCGAGCCTCATCACACTAAACTCACCTATTATAACGACGTCCAAATAGACTAGGAAAGAAGTGGAGGAGCATATACGTACCGCATTGAGCTTCTTGCCCACCATTTTGATCTCTTTTAGATCCATTGTTGCCTGAGATATGCGCACTGGAAGTTTCTCCACCCCTGGAGGACCCCTCATGGGAATGTTACTATCCTGCACCCACAATTTGCTCCTCGCCAAACCATCCACAACATCAATGGCTGAATACCAAGCCCCACTTACGAGTCCACCTATTCGGCTCGATACGCTGCTAAAAACGTTTCTGAAGTTCTTGAATTGGGCCTTCCCACTTGCACTAGATGAGGTAGGAAAAGAGATAGGCTTAGTCGGATCGTCTGCTCTCTTGGCAAGATCTAACAAGAAAGACATCATTGAGACACCATCTCCCACGGAATGGTGCACCTTAACAACTAGGGTTGCAGGTGAACAAGTAGTCTTCCAATTGAGAACATGAAACTCCCATAGAGGACGATCCATCGGAAGAGGTTTCAGGCTTACATCGCAGATGTATTGCTTTACATGTTGGTCATGTGTATCAGAGTCTCCATTAGGAGGCTTCGGGACAATGAAATGGTCATCTATGTTCAAATTCACCCTTTTCCACCTTAACTCTCCTCTGTCTTTCTCTACCTAGCAAGTGGAAATTGCCAACCTACATTAACAGGTAGTAATACAGAAGACTAATCTTGGAAAAGAAATAACTTGAAGTGGCTTTTTTTAAAACGGTAGTGGAGATACCCAACAAATCACAATACGATTTGACCAGCAAAAAGAACAAGAAAAGGGTAAATTATAACTGGTTGTTCGGTTCCAGTCGGTTGGCCGCATCTCAGGCCTAACCTGACCAACTAATATGGTCGGCTTAGCCTGAATACTAAATGGCCCAACCGATCACGCCCGAACCCAGCCAGAACCACTATATCAGTCCCTATTCCAACTGGGCGCAGCCTGACTAACTTATTTAGGCTCCTTGTTGTATTACTCTTTAGATATCAAGATTATTTCCTACTGCACTTAAAGTGTAGGAAAGATCCTGATATTTAAAGAGTACTAAATGGGTGGTTTTTTTCTTGTTTTAGTTTAATACTAGGGTTGGGGTTGTGGTCGTGGTGGTAGTATCACTTGTGCGTCAGCTAATATCTAAGTTTTCATTTTCACCTAACACATTAAAAAACTACTAATAATTTAAAAAACGGGTTGGGACTCATCATCCCCATTGAATGATCCAAAAAAAGTATTTCTTTAGCTCTAAAAATAATTTTTAGAAAAAATAGAGATGAATTACTCATAAAAAGTATTGCTTTAGTTCTAAAAATATTTGAAGAAAGAATTGAGATGAATCCAGCCTCAGTTGTCAAGAGAAAACATTATTTTTCTTTTTGGGTAATTCATTAAGGAATATAGACTCTTACCCGTTTTGTTTTTCTTTTATTTTTTATTTTTTTTAATTAGTTAGGTTTTCAAAAGCTGACAGCAAAATTGGAAATCACGATGTGCGACTAAAGTTCTGTAGTGGAGGTATGCAACCACCACGAACCCAACCCCTTTCCCATAAGTCATAACATTGAGTATATTTCATAACTTTTAACAATCAAATCATCAATGAGATTGAAACTCCCCTAATACATGAAATTGACCAGCGTGAATTGGGTCCCTCAAACAAAGCCCGGATTAGCAAGGTTTTGTTTTGTCGGGGTTTGCTTTTACTTTGAGAGTTTATGAAGTGTTGAGAATTAAACTTAGGGCATGTTTGGATATACTCTTTACTATTGATAATTGACTATTCAAATACAATTAATCCTGAAAATGAATTATCAGACAGTTGTCTATATTTATTTTAAATACGGTGTAGTTTGTATAAGGCGGAGGCTCTAAACAATCAAAGTAAGGCACACCTTAGATAGTGTCGAAAGATGTTATTTAACTACTGGAAATCTTTGTGATGGCCTGAAAATTTATTTTCGTCTCTAATTATAAAATTCAAAACTTCAAAATAGTGCAGATCGAGCATATCTATAAACACTTGATAATCTTGAAAATTAACTGTCCAAAAAGTACATTTTAGGATATACTATTTTCAAGACTTGAAATCCATTTTTTTCTCATGTTTATACATCTTGAGGTTGACATGATAGATTTGAGGTGCCTATTAATTTGATTGTTTAGGGTGTCACCCTTAGGTAAACACTTTCCTTTAAATAACTATGAGGTGTACTTATAGGCAGTTTTACAAACAAAATTATCTTTTTCAAAATTTGTCCTTACTTTATTCAAAGTAATTTGCTTAAAATCATATGTTCGAAATAACTAAAAAAGGCTAAAAATGTCCACAAACTACATAATTAAATAGTATTACATATAATACAGGGTACGTACCAAACAACTAATAAAATAAATAATTATTTCTATGCCATGTAAAGTTATAAAGGCCCTTTCCCTTTCTTTTCTTTTTTTTTGTTTTTGTGGTAAATCAGTGGGTAATACAAGTCCCTACCTGTTTTAGAAATAATTAGTGGTTTTCGAATGCGAGGGGAGTGGAAACCTAGACCAGCAACTAAAGCTCAGGTGGTGCTTCCAACATGACCTCAATCGCATACCGATAAAAGGGCCTTATTTCACTATTTTCTTGTGCAAAATGGTGGTAGAAAACATGGAACAATACCTTGAAACCAAGGTTAAAAGAAACTAATTGGTGACCTCAATCGGCCACCTAAAAAAGCTTGTCTGATCAGTGGATCGGCAACCTGGATTGGATTGGCTGGTTTTAGCCTCAAGATGATTTTTAAAAAAATCTCCAAAATAATATTTTTTGAGTTTTGAAAAAAAAATAGGGGTGTCACATTATGTGCTTTCATTATTTGTAAAAAAATATGTGAGTATTGAGACATTGTTTTCCTATTTGGATGTCTATATGATTATTAATTATAATTTAATATTATACTATTACATCAAAATTATTCAAAAAATATCAAAAAATACTTTCATATTACAAGATTAAAAAAATAATACTCCTTATAAAGTGAAATTAATATCACATCAAACATTTATTAATTCTCTTTACTCATTCAAAATTATCACAACCTAACTAACTATAATATTATACACTGAAATTATAATTATAATTATTATTTTATAATTTATAATTATTTTACTATACAAATAAGAATAAATTTAAAATATATATTATAATATCATCTAATTTAAAATTATTTTTCACAAATACAACAAAAAATAATACATTATATAATTCATAATGAAATTAAATTAATAAATAAAATAAAGATTTGGTTATCAATGTATAATTATTAATTTTAGTATTATTATAAACACAATTAAAAAATTATTAGAAAACACTTCCATATCATATGATCAAAAATAAAACTAAAATTCCTTATAAGTTTCAATGTTATGACATTAAAAACAAGTATTCAAAAATTTATTTTTCCCTACAAAATGGAAAATAACGATATCAAAATTTAAAAACTTAAAAAATAAAAAATATTTTGGTTCACTCTAATAGAACAGGTACAGTGCTGCCCGACCCGGACAGTTCAGGGGAACCTTGCCATTCCCAATATATGGAGGGAGCCAAATCAGGCCATTTCGATCCAAATCGCCTAATTTTCAAACCTTCCTCGAAACAAATCGATTGTCTTTTGTTTTTTTTTTTTGTTGAAGAAACAAGGTTCTCAAGAATACAATAGCACCAAGGGTTTTTTTTTTATGAATATTATTAAATGGACATTTGCGGAATGGTGGCAAAAGTTTACCATGTGTTTTGCCCGTGATATTATATAGACAATTTGTTTCAGTCGGACGACCAATATCAACATCCCCTTTTTCCAAAAGCTTTCGCCAACTGACTTGAGCATGAAAATATTTCAAATAGTGAAAAGACAAGCTTTTTAAATGAACTTCTTGACAAATTTTTTTTTTACTGTGCCTACTTCATTTTTTTTTCTCAGTTTACTTATCTTTTTCCCATGGATTCTTCCTCCTATTTGTCTATCCCTCTAAAAACCCAAATTTTTTAAGCTAATCCCTCGGTCACGCCCTAAAAATCCAAGTCATTTCTTTTACAATAAAAAAAGGTGCAGTTTGTATAGAGCCAAGGCCAATCAAAGTAAAGCACACCTTCAAATAGTATCAACAAATGTAGTTTTAATACTAGAAATCTTTGTGATAGCCTTATAATATATTTTCATTGTTAATTATAAAATTTAAACCTTAAAAAATAGCATGGAATGAGCAGATCTATGAAAGCTTGAAAATCTTAAAAATTGACGGTCCAAAAATGCATTACAATATGCACTATTTACAAAACTTAAAATCCATTTGTTTCTCATGTTCATGCATCTTGATATCGAGATGATCAATTTGATAATATTTGGACATCAAAACAACCTGTTCTAGTGAAATTTTTTATGTGTGCTCTAATTTGATTGTTTAGAGCCTCGCACTAATTCTTCACCTAACCAATTCTTCACTCTCACGTTCTCTCGAGACCCAACTATATTCTTGCCTCCTCTTCTAGTGAATTTTTGAAGTGTGTCTTTATTTGGTTGTTTAGGGTTTGATTCTTATATAAACTTTTTCTTTACTTCAAACACCCAAAGAAAAAATAAAAAATAAATAAACGTGAAACACAAAAACGAGCTTACGATTTCAAACACCTAGCCTTTGGCCTAAGTCGTCGGGCACCGACTTTAGTTAAGAGCGTATTCCAAACAATGGGCAAAAAGTTCACATAAGTCTGTAGTTTGACTCGTAGAGGTAAAATTACTAAAATCTACAACACTCTTAACTGCAATACATGAAACCGTACTTCTAAAAATAAAGTTCCCGCTTTGCAGAAAGGGCCCCTTTTTATTACCAAAATAAAGGACAGAGAATCAATAACTACCATAGTGCAGCAAAATCGAGGGTTGAGGCAATCCATGATTTGAGTGATCCATGATTTGAGTGTGTCTACATTGAAGGGTATTTCACTCTCAAATACGGATATGATATAGAGAGTAAGCTTTGGAGTGCTCAGAGAAAGGGTAATAGGGCTCAAAGGTTCTAATACTTCTCTCTCTGATTCTACACCCATTTTGAGCTAAAAGATTTTGAAAATGAGATGGCTTCAGATGCCAAAGCTTTGCTCCTTTTATAGCCAGAAGTAGACTGGGAAATGGCTTTTCTCGTCATAACTCGAAAAGACTTCTCACCCACCTTGCACCTAGGAATGAGAAAATCATGGAAAACGTTTCTCATACTACTTTTCCAAGCAAAAAAAACAAAGAAAAGATCTGTATGATGCTGATTTGTTTGGCTTCATGAGCAGGTCCCATCTGCCTATTCATTGTACAAACACTGGGCAAACACCTGGAAATGATCAATCCTTGCACAAAACTTCCTCTTGTTTTAATTTGATCATTTTTGGAAAGGAAAAGGAAGTTTCTAAGGTCAATTACCTGGGTTTCTGATATTACTGATCATTTTCTATAGGCCCTGTTGGGTTGGGTTTCTCCCTCCATGTGGAGGATGGCACAAAGTTCACAATCATAATGGTCAAACCGAGATGATCGATGTAAAGGTTTCCCAATACTTAAATTCTAATTTTCGATGAGTTATGTGATGAGGTTTTACTTACCGATCATTTTTCGTACCGTTTTTTACATAAAGCCTAGGCTTTGTTAAATCTCTTTCCATTATAAAAGTACATATAAATCAATCAATGCACAAAGTAAAGGAAGTTTCCAAACACAAAAATTTAATCTGTACCACTAAATATAAAAGAAACAAGAAATACTAAGGTCTAAAATGAGAAAAAAAAAGAAGGAAAAATTAACAGGAGTTTTGTGTTATTTTTTAAAAAAAATATAGGGAAAATAAAGATATCATATAAAGGGTATCGTTTGTATAAGGTGTCCACCTTATATACGCCAAATGAGGCGCACCTCTAAATTATGCTAAAACATGTAATTTTGGTTATGAAAAACCTTGTGATGGGCTAAAGTTTTTTTAGGGAAAATTTCACGTTAAAACCTAATTTGGTGTGTGATTTCCCTATGTACCATGAAATTTGACACGTTTTTATTAACATTAAATTAACTTACTAATTATGACCAGAGTATTCACAAGGTTTTCTTCGAGCTTGTTATATACGTAATGGGGAGATGAGTAAAAGCATACCGACAACATGGAAAAATAAAAGAACAAATTAGGTGGAACTTGCAAAAAAGTGTAGGTTAACAGTGAATCAATCAGTTAAATCTCACATTCCAATGCTTGATATTAAAAAGCCAAGAATCTCTTTCGGACCATATGGATTAAATAGACTCATCTGGGACCCTCAGCCAATCCTATCACACTTGAATGGAATCACGGCTTAAAGACGGAGAAGGGGTTGAGTGCACCTGTCATGAACCTAACACCCGTATGCTGCTTGCTCACTTGGTGGTTAATGCTGTACTAGCAATGAACCTAACACCCGTATGCTGCTTGCTCACTTGGTGGTTAATGCTGTACTAGCAATGGAGCATGCCTCGTCCCTTTTTACCCGTACGTTATTTTTATCGGCAAAAATAACAAGGCAAGCTTTCTATGTTTTGTCTACAACATAAAACTTAGAGGAAAAAGTTTATATAAGGTTGTAACCTTCAAATGTAGAATTAGAAATGCACCTAAAAAATCTATCGATAAAGATTATTTTAATGTTAAAAAACTAGTTCATCATCTCGATATCGAGATATTTAAATTTGAAAAAAAAAAGATTTTGAGTCTCAGAAATAATGCATCTTGCAACACATTATCCAGACCGTCCATTTTCAACCTTTTCATATGTTTATAGATCTATTTGATTTTAACAAATTTTAGATTTTAAAATTTTATAGTAAGATATGAAAATAGATTTTGAAATAATCCTAATAATTTTGTACACTAAAATTACATGTTATGATAAAATTTGGAGGTGCACCGTAATTGGATTGTTTAAAGTTGCATCCTTACAGAAACCACATCCAAACTTTTATACTTCCCTTTATCCAACCGTCCATTATGAATGGAAGGCTAAGATTGTCCCAATCACAATGTCTTGTTTCTACACTATTCAATTTTAAATTTTTTTCTATTACCAAATTTTGTACGTCCAATCCTCTATTAAACTCGCACTAGTGAAAAGCACAGAAAAAAACATATTTTAAATATAAAAAAATGATCAAAATACCTCTGAAAAATCCAAGGGATTTTGGTCATTATATTTTATTGAAAAATCATTTTTAATATTTTTTATAGGTGCATCCCAATGACAATATGGAACATACCAAATTTCATATTCATACAATTTGTATAAAGAAAACTAAAAATAAAATATTTTGTGACATTAGATCTAAGATCAAACGGTGAGTGGCTCTCTTGAACAAAATTGGACGGCTGGATGGTAGGGGAAGTATAGATCTTCTATGTTGTTGGGGAAGTATTGAAACCTTTCTCAAATAATATACTGCTAAAAATTTCTTGTTAAAAAAAGATTTATGGCTAATTTTTTTTATTTAAAATCTAGTGCTTTATCAAAAATGTGTAAAGCTTT